AATATTGAGATTCCAGCTTGGAAATGGGAATCGATTAATATGGATTTCATTACAGGATTGCCCCATTCTCGTCGTAAGTTCAATTCTATTTGGGTCATTGTGGATAGGCTGATGAAATCAGCTCACTTTCTCCCAGTTAGGACCACCTATTCAGCTGAAGACTATGCGAGCCTATATATCAAGGAAATAGTTCGGCTACATGGAGTTCCATTTTCTATTATATCTAACAGAGGTGCCCAATTTAAAGCTAATTTTTGGAGGTCTTTTCAAGAAGGTTTGGGTACTCTTGTTAACCTTAGTACAATATTTCATCCGCAGACCGACGGACAAGCCGAACGCACTATTCAGACACTCGAAGATATTTTGCGAGCTTGTATCTTAGACTTCAAGGGAAGTTGGGAAGATCAGTTACCGCTTATTGATTTTGCCTACAATAACAGTTATCACGCCGGTATTCAGATGGCACCTTATGAGGCACTATATGGGAGGAAATGCAGATCTTCTATTGGCTGGTTTGATGTTGGCGAGACAAAGTTGCTAGGACCCGAATTGGTACAACAAGCTATAGAAAAGGTAAAGTTGATCCAGGAAAGGTTGCGTACAGCTCAAAGTCGATAGAAATCATATTCAGATAACCGACGTCGAGACTTGGAATTTGCTGTGGGAGACTGGGTATTCTTGAAAGTGTCGCCTATGAAGGGTGTAATGAGATTTGGTAAGAAAGGAAAACTCAGCCCTAGATATGTTGGGCCATATCAGATTGTTCAGAGAATTGGGCGAGTAGCCTACAAACTTGACCTGCCACCGGAATTAGAAACAATCCATCCGGTATTTCACATTTCCATGCTTCACAAATTCTTAGGTGATCCTTCTTGCGTAAGCCCTATTGAGGATATTGAAGTTTCTGAGAACTTGTCATATGAAGAAATACCTGTTGCCATTCTTGACCATCAAATCTGTAAGCTACGGACTAAAGAGGTAGCCTCAATAAAAGTACTTTGGAGGAGCAATAATGTAGAGGAAATGACATGGGAGGCCGAGGAGGACATGAAGTCCAGATACCCTCATTTATTTGAGTCTTCAGGTGATATGCTTGAGACAAATATGGCAGGTGTTTCACAGATATCAACCAGTGGCAACTGAGGTAATTAAGTTACGGCTAACCTTCTTATTATCATTATTGTATAAGTAAATGGTCGTGTGAGGCCAAGTTGATGTTATTATGATGATGTGTAGCCCTGTGTGGCCTTAGATATGTATGCTTGGGATGATGACAGGTTTTGGATAGTCCAATTTATAGATCCTTTGGCGAAATTTTTTAAAAAAAAATTCAGAAGTTAGGTTTACCGTTAACATTCGAGGACGAATGTTCTTAAGGAGGGGAGAATGTTACACCTTGTGTATTCGGTGTTATCATGCTGTAAATGGGCTAATTCGATAGGTAGATAATTTCTATGAGATATTTAAATGATGCGATAGTTATACATAAAGATTGGAAGTCATTTGAGTTGTGATTAAAAATTCGACAAAGATCACCGCAAGTTACTGGTTTAAATTTCATTGGAATTTGGATAAAATGTTGATGAGATTTTCTCTCAATATACTGGGAGTTATGGTATGTTCTACCTACCGAATCGAAGGTCTATGAGTCTAGTTTCAAAACGCAACAAACCGTTTGTTAATACGACTTCGGAGTAGAGAGATATTAATCTTTTCGTACAGGGGTGCACACTGTTATGGGAACAGTGTGCTTTGTCGGGTTTAGTTAAAAAACATTTATTTAAGTCATTCTTTAAAACTGAAACCCCTGTGTTTTATCCTCTCCAAAACAGAACCTAACACCTAGGGATTTCCTCTCAAACTCCTCCCATCAATCTAGCCAATGATAACAACAATTTAGTCATCCTCAAGATGGAGAACACCATGGTAACTTTGGAATCGTGAATTCTTCGGTGTTTCACTTTTCATAGCAAGACTCCGCCTTGAAGTAATTTCGAATTTTGAGTAATTCTGGTCACATAAGGTATGATTTAACTTCCTCTTTGATCTTTGTAAACTTCTACCATAAGAATTCCTAAGAAATAGTTGAAACCTCTATAGAAATGTTCTTG